TGTTATGTTTTTCTTCAAGAGAGACAATAGCACTGGATATAAACCGATTTTTAAATTGTGATGCCAGTCCATCAGACCAAATTGATAGCCTTCTAATGTTGTTAGGTAACATTTCCATCAGCTTGTCAATGTAAGCTATAATCGTATCTTTTGAGTGTGTGAGATTGTCTGAAGCAAATACAGTTGAATGAAGGACTCCGTTGTACCACAGCGCAGCTGTAAAGAGACTCACTTGGTGCTGCTGCCAATGAGCACTTTGAATCTCATCTTGGTATTGACATGTGTAATTTTCCGAGAAATCGACTTGAAGAAGGGCTTCATCGACACTACTTTCAATTGCATCGCGTTGCAATTTATAACTTGCTGCCTGCTTTCGTTTGACATAGCAGTGTTCAAGAAATTGTGGTAAAATAGAGGAAATATAACTGCGCAAATCATCAGTTGTTCCTTCTTGTACTATTTTTGCAATCCTATCATCTGAGTCCTTCTTCCAGACATGCCAAGTAACTTGGGTATTTTCTGCGTTTTCAGTCATATTATTGAAAATTTGTCCATCTTTGCATTTTTCACAATTATTAAACCAGCAATCTCTAGTGGCTGGACTGCAGACTAGGCTCTCTGGAAGTTCACTGTTATAAAGTGGTATGTTTGGACAATGAGCATGAAGTGCATTAATACCAAGAATAAAGTTTTCATGGTACTTGCAAAGGCACACATTATGTGGTAACTTGTTACTAAGCTATACATGAAGAGGGCGAAGAGCAGCAAATTTGCTTTTTCCTATCTTGATATGAGGAAATTCCTTGGCAAACATACCAAAAACTTCCATCACGGAACATGTAAGATGTCTTGCTTGGATTTTGTGTTTTGTACCATGTTCATCTCTTATAATTACTGAGTCTTTACGACCTGGAGCTTGACGGCTTACGTCTTCACGTTCATAGAAAGTACGAACTATAGTTATAGTTTCTTTTCCTAAGGCGTTAATACTTGGTGTTGGATTCAAACTAAAATCAACCATTGTCAGTAGCTTCCGACAAATAGCCTTCTGCCGTTTAGGAGTACATGGGAGAGATTCAGTCAGTGCTCGCTTAGCACGAGCCATTGCCTTACCCATTGCCTGAGCACTTTTGTAAGGTTCTGTCTGATTTTGTTTTGCTTCTTCCCACTTCTCTTTACGAGAGGCTCTATGTTTTGCAACACGTAGTCTGGTTTGCTGTCTATTCTTCTCATTTAGTTTCTGTCGAACAGAATCTGACAGGTCTTTTTCTTTTTCTATTCTCTTTGCGCTACTATCTCTCTGGTACTGTGCTTGTTTCTTTTTAAAATCA